ATTATTATTATTATTATTATTATTATTATTATTATTATTATTATCATTAGGTTTGATTTTTCTGATCCTAATCTACCCAAGAAGAGGGTTTTCCCCTTCGTATCAGTCACACCCACTCATACAGGTACATGTATACATGTATTATTATTATTATTGTTGTTGTTGTTGTTATTATTATTATATTTTAGGTGTTCTTCATTCTATTGCTGTGTACTGGAGTATCAGTATGCCCCAGGGGGTGGAGCTTAGCATGTCGCCATGGCAACAAGATCATCAAGTTAGTACATATACATATTAGTTAATTAATTTATTATTATTATTATTATTATTATTACTAGTGGCGTGATCATTGGTTGCCTTGTGTTCAGATATTAAGTGATCCAATCAACATTAATAAAGGTAATTAATTAATAATTAATTAATATATCTATTAATTAGTATAAAGGTGAAGTCGTGAATATTCAATTAGTTAATGATGAGTTTACACTATGGACTGTCATTGAAAACAAGTAATTAATTAATTAATTAATTATTTATTTATTTATTATTTAATATTAAATTCTCTCTCTCATTAATATTCCAGTATTAATTTCTCTCCCCATTCTCCTCCATTGTGTTCCTGTGGAGTCCACATGTCCTTCAGTAGAGGAAGACTAAGAATGATTAATGATAAGGAGAGGAATGAAAGGATCAACCAATCACTGGGAGAGGTAAGGGAGGGGCTAGGGGTGGGGTAAGGGGGAGGGGCACTTGTAGTGAATTTAGTGAGTGATGGCTTTTAAACATTTCATTATTATTATTATTATTATTATTATTATTATTATTATTATTATTATTATTATTATTATTATTATTATTATTATTATTATTAGCTGTTAGTTGGTAAATCTACTGTTCTTTGTGTTGGTGATGGTTCATTTCTTCCATTATTTTGTGCTAATTATAAATCAGTTAAAAAGGTAATTAATGTGTGTGGGTGTTAGTTGCATAGCAACCTTGTCTCTGTAGATATTCTCAGTTGAGAGCAATCATCACTCCTTCAGTACAATGGAACAAGTGAGTGACATTATCTGATGCATGTACATATATTTATGTTTTGGGGAAACTTTGAGCTGATTCTGAGCAAAATTAAAGTTGCTCCAAAATTGGGCCAAAGTTCCTGTACTATAGTACAGGGTCACGAGCCAAATTATGCCAAAAATTAAAAGTAGAGAATTCTCCATTTTTATTACATTTCCTGATGCATATACATGTACTTATGTTGTATAGAAAGTTTGAGCTGATTCCGATCAAAATTGGATTTTTTACGAATTTTTTAAGTTGCTCCAAAATTGGGCCAAAGTCCCTGTACTATAGTACAGGGTCATGAGCCAAATTTTGCCAAAAATGAAAAGTAGAGAATTCTTCATTTTTATTACATTTCCTGATACATATACATGTTCTTATGTTGCGTAGAAAGTTTGAGCTGATTCCGATCAAATTTGGATTTTTTACGATTTTTATAAGTTGCTCCAAAAAGTCCCTGTACTATATAGTACAGGGTCACAGGCCAAATTTTGCCAAAAATGAAAAGTAGAGAATTCTTCATTTTAATTACATTTCCTGATGCATATACATGTCCATTATACAGTTATGTTAATGATTCTCTCTCTCTCTCCAGATCATATCTTGTTCCTCACTCTCAGACTCCATTAGTTTATTGTCTGTTGATCCTAATGACATCACGCCCACTCACTTAATTGGACACTCTATTGATGTCCTGTTAGCTGAACCATTCTTTGTTTCCATGACGTTGCCATGGCACTCTCTTTACTTCTGGTATGTACGGACTGCACTAGATCCTCTTCTGTCGACTGATTGCGCAATAACCCCAGGCTCCGCCCACTTAATGGGAATAGCCGGTAACTACATGTACATGTACTCATGTAAAAATAATTAATTTAATATGTACATGTAATTAATTAATTAATTAATTATTTATTTATTTATTGTTGTTGTTTACAGTTAAATTTGAAAACCTTCATCTATTAAAACATTCTCTTGGAAAAGTTGAAGAATTTTACTTAACCCCATATGATGATGCAGTAATTAATAGATTAATTAATTATTTATTAATTAATATTCATTAGGTAATGGAAAGTATTCCTGATATTAATAAGTCCTTGCCCCCTGAGGATTATTCACTGTGGGAATATCCCTCCTACCCCCTCAGCGGGGTCCAGACACTAATGAAATTTGACTTTACATCACCGGTTCCAAAAGACACAATATTGAGAGAGAAAGGAAGGTATAGGACCGCTAATGTATACATTAGTGTTGTTTTAGTTACAAAATTTAGTTTTAGTTTAGTAACTATTAGTTTTTCCTCTTTT